GAGTTCAAGTTTATTTATACCAAAGCAGCTATTTTTTGACAACTTTTGGAAAAGCGACACCACCGACGCCACCGATGCTAAGCGTTACATTGCGTCGCTTTTTAAACCAAGGCTGATTTATGCAAATCATGCTTTTTTAACCATTTCAGAAAAAAACACGCTCTCGACGCCAAGCGTCTTAAGGCGTCGTTATTTAAATTATTGCTGTTTCATGCATATCTATAACAAAGAATCTATTTCTGACCAAAAAAAGACATACCAAAGCAGCCATTTTTTGTCAATTTTTGGAAAAGCGATGCCACCGACGCCAAGCATTACATTGCGTCGCTTTTTAAACCAAGACTGATTCATGCAAATCATGGTTTTTTAACCGTTTTTTGGCAAAACGACGCTCACGATGCCAAGCGTCTTAGGGCGTCGGTTTTTAAATTATTGCTGTTTCATGCATATCTATAACAAAAAAGCTATTTCCGACAAATTTAAAAAAATAGACGTTATAACAAGGCAGCCATTTTTTGACAATTTTTGGAAAAGCGACGCCACCGACGCCAAAGCATTATATTGCGTCGCTTTTAAACCAAAGCTGATTCATGCAAATCATGATTTTTTAACCATTTTTTGGCAAAACAACGCTCACGATGCCAAGCGTCTTAGGGCGTCGTTTTTTAAATTATTGCTGTTTCATGCATATCTATAACAAAGAAGCTATTTCTGACAAATTTAAAAAAAAATAGACGTTATAACAAAGCAGCCATTTTTTGACAATTTTTGGAAAAGCGACGCCACCGACGCCAAAGGATTATATTGCGTCGCTTTTTAAACCAAAGCTGATTCATGCAAATCATGATTTTTTAACCATTTTTTGGCAAAACAACGCTCACGATGCCAAGCGTTTTAGGGCGTCGTTTTTTAAATTATTGCTGTTTCATGCATATCTATAACAAAGAAGCTATTTCTGACAAATTTAAAAAAAATAGACGTTATAACAAAGCAGCCATTTTTGACAATTTTTGGAAAAGCGACGCCTCCGACGGCAAGCATTACATTGCGTCGCTTTTTAAACAAAAGCTGATTCATGCAAATCATGGTTTTTTAACCGTTTTTAGAAAAACGACGCTCACGACGCCAAGAGTCTTAAAGCATCGTTTTTTAAATTATTGCCGTTTCATGCATAGGTATCTACAACAAAGAAGCTATTTCTGACAAATTTAAAAAAAACGACGTTACCGACGCCAAGCGTTATATGGCGTCGTTTTTTAGATTATAGATTGATGCATTTCTATACCAGATAAACACTGTGGCGTCTTAAGACGTCGTTTTTTAAATTAATGCTCATTAAAATATATCTATACCAAAAACTACTATTATTATTATTAAATGAGCTCTTTTTGGTAATTTAAAAAAAACGACGCAACCGACGCCAAGCATTACACTGCGTCGTTTTTTAAAATGGCTGAGTCACTCATATCTATACTAAAACAGCTGTTTTTTACCATTTTTATCAAAATATAGAATAAAATTCTAATTTCTAAAACACTCTTTATATTTATCAAAATGTTTATTTTATAAGTTTTAAAAAATCCACAAAATTTTCCTCTTTTTACTGATTAAAAAAAAATTAAACACTTCAAAAATCTGATGAAAAGATGTTTGAAAATGAAACCTACCATAAGAAATAAAGAGATGGCAAAAACAACTTGATCTATAAAACAAAACGCTGATTCTAATTTATTGTAGTTCATCAATTAATTCCGCAATATGGGTTATGGCCAAGAAAATTGAAAAATCCGAACAGCAAAGGAATGTTAAATGATCATTCAATAGCATTATAGGCTCTTTACCCTAAAAAAGTTTTTTGAACGCCGCATACAGCACGACGTTGACCATCGCCCTGTGGCCCGAAACGTATTTTTTTCCTTCCATATTAAGATTTCGTTGAATTATTTATGAACGAATACATTAGACCGAATATTTTTAGACGTTTTTCTTTCGAACGGAGAATCAACTTTTTCTCTTTTCTCTTTCGGACATTTTTTGTGATTTATGAGTTCAGGTTAGCCTAGAAAATTCAAATTAATATTTAAGCTCCATTTTCTTGGTATCTTTATCCCAAGGTTTACCATAGAAACAGATAAGAATAAATAATAAGTTCTTGTAATTCTAATGTTCTTCTTTAGGAACTATTTTTAATAAAAAAATAATGAAATTGATTTCTTTCTCTATTTCTTTTAATTGGATCCAATAATTCATTGTCTTCAAAAGGTTTTCAAATTATTTGTTTAAACTTAACTGTATAAACTTCTAATTAGTTCTCAGTACTTATTACCCTTGAAAAATCACTAGCATAATGTTCAGATCCACAATGTATTGGCAGTTTCTAAAAGTGTCGACCAAAGTTTCTACCAACTCTCCCAAATTTATGAAACCCACTTAAATTTAGTCCTTCACCAATTAAAGGGTATAAGACACGTAGAGAGTGCCAGTACTCTGACAGTACATCAGTAAAGTCATAAAATAGATCCAGTATTCTCTGCAGCAGCTCTTAGTAGTTTAAATGTTAATTTCTAGATGACTATCGTAATCTTATCTGTCTGCTTTTTTGTGTCTACATACCTTTAAATTCGTTCTATATATCTTCTTTTAAACATGGCTGTTTTAAATGATACTTTTTACCTTTCACACTTGATCTTGTTCTTGTCTGTTTTAAATTATTAATTTTGTTATTAAATTTAAAACTTAATATTTGTATCAATTTTAATTTTTAATTTAATAACATTCTAAATTTGATAACAAATGGCGCCCAACGTGGGGCATGGCAATCAATTTTAATTTTGTAATTTCTGGTTATATGTGACTCATAAATCAAATATAACAATGTTCATTGTTTTTAATTATATCTAAATGATTAAAATTGTTGTTAATGTTAAGAAAAAGGAAATAAATAATCGCATGGCGATGGTCATTTGGTCAATACGTAGTCAATCAAGTAAAGGTATTAAGCACGATATCCAGACTAACCGTTCTTGTACAGTTCTTAGATCTTTATCGTGTTTTCTATCTTTGGTTCTTACAAGTAAGTGTCTATTACAGACTTGTGTACAGTATCTTACATAATAGCCTACTGTAAATGTCTGTAGATAACACTAAATAGTCCAATCATTTGGTTTGTTTGAATAATATCACTTTTTTTATGAATTTAGGTTATTTTCCAAGTATAAATTCAGCTCACTTTAAATAAAAACGTGTTTAATGCTATATATTATATCACAATGCTATACATCATAAAAGGGGAAATTAGTTGTTGGTTGTGTTTCTACCGTTACCATACATACCTTTTTTTCTAAAATTAAATATAGCACTTCAAATTTGTTGTCAATAACTTTTTAATGATATGTTTTATCACAAAAATTGTAGACAAACAATTCCTCTATAATTTTTTTCACAGTTTTTTTACCATTTTTTTTTCATATTTAATTGTATTCAGTCATTACGCGAAATAGAAGAAAGATCCTTTATTTCTTCTTGGGATATGTGATGTGATATTCCGATAGTTTGAGTGCAAAGATGTCCTATTCACTAAACTAAAACCTCTTTTCTTCCCCTCATCCTCCTGGCATGTTCTTCAAAGATATTCTTCCGGATGCTGGTTAGTTACTACTTATTTTCTGTTACAATTGTCTTTAGTTTGTTCCTAGAGTTCTTTGGTCTCGTGATATTCTTCTCTCGTGCCAGCCTGGCTCTTTCACATTCCACTTTAGTTTAAAAAGAACTGTGGTCAGTTTTTGATCCCCTATAATATCTTGCCTTAGGGCTAATCTTAGTGAAACATCCATATTGATACCTATACTTACTACATTGCCTACTATACACGTTGTCCATTGTTCCTTGTTCGTGGTGTTCACTCCTGCTGCCACTTAGGTAGGCTAGCCTCTCGCTCTCGATTGGTTTAGTCTCCTTGTCATTTCTTCTTCAGTTTAAACCTGGCCATTCAAATACCTGTAAGTAGCAACCCATTAGTGTAATTCTCTTTTGGGTCTTCTTCAATCGGTTCCAGAAAGATGCCACTGCATGGCTTGTGCCTAAACTGGTACTCCTAGAGCAAAATAGAGTGCACCACTCCGCTTAGGGCTTCCCATTTCCTTCAATTTCCGCTTTATACTCTACTCTCTCGACATGTTTCCTAAAGCTTCCTTTAATTATTTAAGCTGCCTCTGTGGCTTAAACTCTATCCCTTTGAGGGGAAGGCTTTTACATGCTGACTTTTTTTCTTTTTCGAGGTCTTCTCATGATTAATACCTCAGTTCTTTCTGGAGTTAGTTACATAGACACATAGACCGTCAGAAGCACTATCTTTAGTCCTCACATTCGACCTATCCAGCGACAGGTTACTACGAAATTAGAGGAGTCTGACCTAACGAGAGTACGTAATAACAACTGGCATTGAGCGTCATAAACACTTTTGAACAGATTGCTATTTTCTAATGCTGAAACAAATAATATGAGGGTGAATTAAAGAGGAATAAGTTTACTATTTTGGGGAACATTATAGTGATTGAAACAAATTTACAGGATCTATTTTCAATATCGAGTATTGCAGTTTAATTTTGTTCTCCATTTTTACAATGTGATTGGACTAATAGCAAATTGTATAATCTCCAAAATAGTTTAACATTGTTTGTTGTGAGATGCATAGTTTTAGAGGTATAGCATTAAACGCCTGAGCCTGAGCAGAACGATGAATTTATATTCAGAAAATACCTTAAATCGTTCAATTGGACCGAACCTGGAGACAATTCTCAAAATATTCGTTTATTAAGAGTATCGTTTGTGACGTCATGAACGGTACGCTCAATGAACAAATAATATTTCGAGAATTGCCTCCCTGCAGTTGCGCAAATTGATTGACTCGAGTACTCGTGCGGCGCCAGAAAAACCTCACCCCCCACAATTGACCTTAGCGGCAGCTTGCGCTGATTTTATGCCGGGGTAATCTGCTGTAGGTGTGCCGTGAGTACCAGCGCGGGGCGTGCAAGCGCGCCGAGTCGGAATGTCGCTTTGCGCATCCCGCCGACTCTGTGACTGCCAACGAGGACGGTACTGTCACTGTCTGCATGGACGCAGTCAAGGGCCGCTGCAACCGCGACCCCTGCCGCTATTTCCATCCCCCTCTGCACCTCCAAGCCCAAATCAAGGCCGCACAGTCGCGGGCTAGCGCGGTATGCTACGCAATCTTAGAGCGCACGCCAGCTACTTTTTTTTTTTTCGTTTATTGTACCGTTTGTGTTTTTGTATCGGTAGATCGTGACGTATCGTTCGAATGGATTTCAAACGATACGTGAGTCGATAATTTTTATTTTTTATTTATTGACAGTACTAAGTTGAAATATTGTTTGATTGAAGAATAATTTAGCCATCATTTACAATTGGTAACTTTTTCCTACCACTCTTTTCTGTATTTGTAAGCTGGAGAGGGTGGGTTTTTCACCACATCACTTAAGCCTGACTAGATCCATTGCCTTTTAGCTCCTCAAAAACACTGATGGTTAATATCGTCGCCGAGCGGTGTCTTTAGTAGATATTACAATTTCTTAGTCGCATCTAATGACATAATGCGTTCCTATCAGTCTTTTTTCAAGGAATAAATCGTGTAGCTCTACTACTGATAGAGCTCTACTAATATTTGAGCATTTCTATGACTCCCTTTAATATTTGAACACCTCATATTACGCTGTTCCGTATTTAGGAACGGAGACGTGTATTCTGGTGGCACTACAACCAATTTAAGCCCAGTAGTACTTCTCCAGTTCAGGGAAAGCTCAACTGATCATGATTTTGACTGTGACAAACGTCATACCATACCTCACCATCAAAACCAGGTTTAGTTGAACCACCCCTAATCTCGAGTGGTACAACTGGGCCTAAGGAATCCTAAATCTTCTATTACTCTCACCTACTGAGAGATGCTTCGAAGTCCTTGTACGAGTCAGCTATGTAGTGGCTGTCCTTTGTCTCCTTTTTCTCAATTCCTTGAATTTTTGTTTATTCTTTTCCACCTGATAACTTTAAAAAACACAATTTAGTACTGTCATCAAAAATAGACGTCATTATATTTTGTTTTGCAAAGCTAAACGCCTACTTGTGTTGTATTGTTTTTGTGTAACTAATCATTTTTAAAAATTTGTCCACTGCTCTATTCACAATCTTAAATCATTTTATAACTCTTATTTCACTACTACTTATCGTGTTTGTAAGTGTGGATCTTAAACTGGACAAATTATTTTTGAGATTTTTATTTTTTAATTTTTCCTCTTAGAAAGCTTGTCTCCTACTGCCTCATGTTTCGTTATTTAACCTTCATGATGCTCTATGCAGACAAGACTTAGTGTTCTATTCTTTTTAGTATTGTGGTTTGGCTCTTACTCCTAATGCAATGAATGCAGCAGGCTATATTCTTTGCTACCTGGTGCTAGGTGTCCCTCTAGTAGATAATCACCGTACTAGTACGTCAGCAAATTGTTCCGAAGCGCTCGCTTGGCTTTCCGAAATGTTTTACTCGAAATTATTAGTAAATTTCGTCAAACAATTTAGCCCCACGTTGGGCGCCAATTTATTTCAAAGTTGGACAACTTTGAGTGCATGTTAATTTTGTATTTAAAGGAGTTTACGAATAGTTTGGGGTCAAATGTTTTAGTGAGCTCGCGATATATGTAAAGGACAATTTGCTATTTAGCGGTAACTAAATTAAAGTAGTTGTGACGTCATCACCCTGCAGCATGTATAGCTGCGCGCTCTGCCAACAAGCCCTTGCTCTTTACCTTATTACCCTTATTACTATTATTATTGCAATTTTTAGAGGTTTAGAGGGTTCCCCGTATAATAGAGTACAACTTTTGGGAATGGTTTTAAAAATAGACGGTTCAAGGAAAAGAGTTTTTTTTTCAATATTCATCGAGTATTTATTGAGTCAGTGAATAGATTGAGATCTGGAGAAATATGTGTACTAATAAGGTTTAGGTCTCCAATACAAGATTTGGATCTTGAACAATATGCAAAGACCTCAGTTACTCCAGTTAATTGAAACCAGTTATGATCCAATGAGGTTTCAGGTTTTGAAAGATCTGGACGCTCTTTTATTTTGACTAAAGAAAATATATTCCTTTCAATAACAACTTGGGTATTGGGAAATCTTAGTCTTCTTCAAAAAGGTTAGGCGCTTTAGCGTCTGGGTCTTTATATACAGGCTTAGGATTAAAATGTTTGGACAATCTGAACATCAAAAAGGTCTGTAACTTGAGCTTTGCTAAAGATGATTAAAAAAGGACTAGGTAACAAGAAGTGAAAGCTTTAAGACTGCATTGACTCGTAAGAGCCTTAGATCTGGAGCCATAAATGGATACTGTTAAGAATTATTTGGAATTGGAATTTTCTTTTTCCATCTGAACTAGGGTTTGATTCAAAGGCCACTTGTACTGAAACTCTAGGCTTATTACAGCAAGTTCCAACCAGTGTTAACGGTGTTATTACTTGTTCCATTAGCACCTTTTTAACATGCTGGTATGAAACAGATACATCTGGGACCTTGGTTTGTCTGTAGTCAGGTTTTTAACAACTTTGGACATTCAAACTCTTATTGATCCATTATGATCATTCATACCAGTTAGTTCAATGGTTTTTATTAAGAAATCAACCACTCTTTTACTTGAATTGTCTATTTTAAATTTCATTTCCAAATAACTATTTTAGAACCTCATTTTAACCGCTTTTTGGCAAACTGAAAGCAGAAGAAGTTGAAAACATCAAAATATTACAAACGATTCATTTATCTAATTATTTGCCTATGTAATATCCTGTGTAATTAGTATATATAGTTAGTTTTTAGGCAAAATACACAAGCACACGAAAACACATCATAATAAACGAAATGTACAGTACACGCTTAAAACGCAATCCGAATAATATAGGTTTGGCACAAATGAACCCATTATTAAAATAAACAACGCACATTGTTTAATATTCGATATCAAATTTACAGCAATAATTCGTCTACATGATTTAAATTCACTTTACGCAAATAGCATCAGGATTCACGATGTATAATAATTAATCCTTACCGCACACGTGTAATTTACAGGGTGATTAAGTAAAGTAAAACTCTGAGGCTAATATTTTGGAATATTACAGAAATACATTCGGAAACAGATAATCACTAAACTTTATTTTTTTTTAAATTAATAGTATTTGAGAGTTATAAAGGATAATTCGGATTGATCCTTGTATCCTTTTTCATTATTTTAATTATTGGGCTGCTTGTATTTTTTTTAAATTTTCAATGATACTATGGATTAGATAAAAAAAACAAATAATAATAATTGTTGATATACATACTACATTAATTTTTCTTCTGATCTTGGAACGCTTTTATCTCGGTAACCATGGAGAATTAGATATTTGTTTGCTTAAAATGAGCTCAGCAATATGATATTTAAGTTTGTAAAGTACATAACGCAACACTCTGTTTATAATAACGTCATAACGAAAACTGGGATGACGTCATATCTAAAAATAATATGCCATTAGATACAAAAATCGACTAGCCAGAGTGCCAAAAGTGACAAATTAGAAATTGACAATTATTTAAAAAAAAAGCAATTGAATACTATTTTTGCGTCTGTCTCTCTATAACCAATACTAACGTACCGCTACATTATATTAAATAATACATTCAATAAAAGTAGATATGTTTAGCCAGTTCTGGACCAATGAGGACTCCCTGGACTAATTACCCTAATAGCCCGGGAGCCAGAACACTTTTGGTTACTTATTTTCGTTGTTTAATTTTAGTTCAAATATTGAAAGGTCCTCAATAAAGCCTTTTTTGTATTTCGTCATTTGATAAGATAAGACGACTTGTTAAATTTTAAATCAAGTATTCTAAGAGCAAAGTGAACTTTTTAATTGAAAAAAAGTTATTTAATTTATCTAGAGAAAATAAAAATTTACTCGACACTACGATGTATTTTCAGCGCCAGATATATGTCAGATTTTTTCTCTAATGTGTCTATATTTTCCTATTAATTTTAACCTTAATACTATCGGTAATTAAATATATATTTTTTAACATCCTTACAGGACTGTCAGATGCTAGGCACACATCAGACGATTTTTTTTAATGTGTTCATTCATAAACTGTAACTTCACTAATTTTCAGCTTTAATAAGATGAAATCTCTTTGATTTTCTTTCGCTGTCCTTAGAAAAACCAATAGACGGAATTCGTTAAGAATTGGTAATAATGGTAAACAGGTTTATACCTCTCCATCTTTTTACAGTTCTGTTATTTGCTCCAATACCGGAAGTAGATGTCAACCATTTTTTTAAATAGGATATCCCTTTGTTGATACTTCATTATTCATTCATGGTCTAATCCTCCAAGTCCCTCTGTGTCTTGTTTGACCTTTGAGGCTCAACTTGTCCGATTATCATACATACCAAAACCCCTTAAGACATGTGTGACGACTATAACGAAGGCGCTTTCGATTAACTTCCAGAACGAACGTGGTAATGTTTCTAGTTTTGGCATTCTAGATTTTCACCATCTGTTTTATTTTCTCCTCGACGGAAGACATTAGTTTCTCTTCAACGGAAGTCATCTTATTTTCCACATCAGCAGAAATTTCATCTTTTAATAGAGATTTTATTTTCTAAATCTGAAGAAATTTCTGCTTTTAAAGAAGATATATCCGAATTTACCTTTTCTTCTGAGGAAGAAATATCAGACGAAACTTTACTTTCTAAGGAAGTAATGTCAGTAGAAACTTTAATTTCTAAAGAGAAAATATCATTTTTTTAATATAGAAAACATCTGAAGAAACTTTAGTTTCCATAGAAGAAATTATAGAAGACGTATCATCCGAAAATGGAAATGTTTCCGGATCCAAACCTTCATTTTCCATTGCTTCTTTAAGCTGCTCAGCCAGCTCTGCTTTCTTCCTTGTCGTCTTCAGATCACGATCCTCTAATTCTCGACGCAACTCAGCCACTTTTAAATCACAGTTTTTTTTAGCCAGTTTAGCGTTTGTTTATTTTAAACAACAGTTTATTTGTTAATAATTTATTTGAACACCTATTTATTTTAAAACAGTACTATTCTAATTTATATATTTCGAATGTCTTTAAATTGTCCACTATTTATCTTCACAACTCTATGTATAACACTG